GTGTAGTGTGAAAGGTTGCCACAAAGTGTAATGACCCGCCCTAGGCCGTCACATCAATAACCAATATGACAACTAAAATAAAATAATATATAATAAAGAAAAGAGAGCAAAGGTCAGCTACACTAGAGTGTAAACATTTTAAAACGTGTAAATTATTTTCATCATATAAAACAACTTTATAAAAGAGCCATCATCCGTAAGGTTATACAATCATCCAAAAAGATAATGAATATATATAACATCATGAAGACATCAAAATAGGACACCCTAGGTGCTGGTCAAGCTCTAAGTCTAGCCACTTCTCAAAGCAGCTACCAAAAGACTCCTTGCCATCCTAAAGCCTCACACCTGATCTGCTTCCCCACATAGTGAGATCATCACAGTCCACATCATGGAAATATAAGGGTTAGCACGTATAAAACCAACCATAGTACAACATAATGAAATATCATCAAAATAGATATTCATCAACAACTTTTATCCATACCAAAGGAATGACAACATTATTACATGTCTATCTCCATGCAATATAAACCAAATCCAAAATTCAACGTATACATATCCATACCAATGCATACATATTCTATAGTAATGAAGAATCCATAACCAATGTATACAATCCATACCATATGCATATATATTCCATATCCAAACGAACGTCACACCGCTGTATAATCCCATGAAGTTGCCAACACATCCAAACCAAATGTTGGCCTCAACACATCCAAACCAAGTATTGAATTTGTGAACATGTCACCTGCCCATGTCACACACCTAACCTCTCATGAAAAATATACAGTTGGATTACATCATCATGTAACCCTGGTGATCTTGGCCACTTCATCCATCGGTATGACTCAGCCTTGCCCTCATACCAGTAGAAAATAGAATGCTTAGAGGAGTACTTTAGAATCCACCTAACATCTGAAGTGGTTTATTATATAATCTTTGGGAAAGTTCCATATTGGAATCCTCACCATAGGACTCCCAAATTCTATATTTTCCCAAAGATTATATCTAAATCTCACCAAGAGATCTCCCAATCCATACCATAACCTTACTCCTCTAGACCCTATTAGCTTTCCAAACCAAACACACATAGCATATTCCATAATTACATACAAACTTTTCCATAACCATGCCAAATACTCAATATAACAACATCAATAATTAAACACCCAAAACAACTATCAACTTAACCAAATCACTCTTTGAGAAATGGCAATCTTCACATAAAATAGCGTATCAAGAGTTATACTACTCCTATCATGCTCATCTTTATCTCATATGAAAGCTAATAAGATTTCCTACAACTCTTATCAAGACATAATGTCCAAATTCCATCATCTACTTTGTCAAAACTTACAAAAACCGCAACAGTTATAACTAATATTTACAACTTGACCCCTATTCACTAAAACATCCATATTTGGAGTTCTAGACCTCCTTTTTGGGTGATTCCAGCGCCATTGGAAAGCTAACATCCAAGGCTACAACTTTTATGCATACTTAAAGACCAACATACTCACGCCCGGCGAATTAATATCTCGCCCGGCGAAACCTCAAACAGAGAGTTCATGCCCGACACCCTCACGCTGAACCCAGCGTAGTCTACACAGAGACCTACAAAGGTATCCGCACTCGTGGCACTTATCCTACACCCGACGCAACCCCAGACAAAGACTCCCAATAAGTCTCCACGCCTGGCATGCTCAGATCACGCCCGGCGCAATATCAGTAACCAAAAATACAAGGCCCACGTCTGATAGGGCGCCCGACATGGTTCTCCCCATGCCCGACGTGATTCACCCAGGGATTCCCATTCCAAATAGCGCCCAGCGCGACTAGCTTCGCGCCCGACATGATTTGGCAATGGTGGTCCCTGATGAATTCACGCTTGGCCCCAAGAATTGTGCCCGACGCTTTTACTACCAGAAACCCTGGAAAACCTCAAAAATTTCTTCCCAACATGAATCCAATTCAAATTACACGAGTTCAAATCATTACAAAGCATAATTACTATCCAAAAATAACATATTAAGCAATGAAATCAAGTCTTAACCACTAATTCGTGGAAATCATGAAGAAACCCCAACCAAAACCCTTTCCCCTTAATCCATCCTTAATCATGTATAAATCATGGAATCAATGTGATATTTCAAACCCATACACACCAGATTAAGTCTTATAAGTACTACCCTTACCTTAGAAACTTCAGAAATGCAAGATTTGGACAAAACCCTCAAATCCCAACTCAAACTTTAATCTCACTTTTCAAGCTTTTAGAGGCTAAATCTCTTGAAACTCTAGTTGTGAAGATTGATCCTAGCTTAACAAGCTTCCCAAATGTGTCCTCAGCTTCCCTCCGATCTAGAGCCTCTCTCTCTACTTCCTCTCTCTAGAAACTGTCTCTGTTTGACAAATGAGACCCTCCGGTCCTGAGTCCCTATATATAGCCATTTTCCAAAATTTCCAAATTTCACCCTTAGCAACTATTCACCTCAAATATTTTATTCCATGCAGTATTTCAACTTCCTAAGCTCTAAACCAACCTCAAATTCACTCAGAAAGACCAGATTTATCTTATGTTCCTATCCTTAAATCTCCTACCTATCCTATTCCTTTCCATGCAATACTCACAACTCACCACCATATGAAATGTAGCATGTATTAACATGCAAACAAACATCACATTCATATACATATTCTTGGAATAATGAGTTGCATGCCATAATACTTCACTTAACTAAGATAAGAAGAAAAGTGATCATTCTTCTTCCCTCTTAGTACCAATTCAGTATAATGGTGTACAATGTATCATTCACCACACTCATGCGTACACATGCCTATATAAACACATCAAAACAACGATATCTCGTTCCATAATGCAAAAACACTACCATGTCCAAACAACTAATCAAAACCACATAATTATAAAACATGCACAATGATAAGTACATTTCAAATCCACACCTCCAAATCCAATCCAAATCCATATAAACAGCATACACATACATACATACATATATATATATATATAAAGTATATCTACTAAATAACTCGATATTTCCATGGCGTTACACAAAGCACCTAAAATCTCCATAGTTGAAGATCTAATAAAGCTTGCTATGAGGTATTACTCATCAATCTCTTGTTCCATCTTTCTCTTCTTTTATTTCAAATATTGTTATAATAAACGCAATCATGTAGACATCTTAGAGTTTATCGTGTAATTTAAATTTTATGTATAAAGGGGATGAAATATTTAAAGTATTAATTCTTATTACGCTATCTTCATCATAGGGTACCGATTAAGGGCATTGTAGGGGTGCTTAATACCCTCCCTACAACCCAATTCTGGTTATCAAGGCCATTATTGGATCCTTAAAAACCTTTTCTTTTCCCAATGTTTTGAGTAAAACATTGGTGGTGACTCCATGAACCATTTTCAAAACCATTAATTAGGGATTAGTCTGGTATTCGGGCATTCCTTAATTGATGATATTTTCAATCGGATGTTTAAACCATAGGTCGCAAGATCGGAAATTTTTGGGTTGCGACATGGTGTGATTGCAAAATGTGACGTGAAGATGATGTATGATTGATAGAGTTATGATATATAGAAATGCTTGTGAATATTTCATTAAGTAATGAGTTATGATAAGATTATGTTGTGTTTTTCCTTGTGTGTTATCAATATAGATGTTTTTTTTATAAAAGTAAAATTTGTGGATGTTTTATGTGAGGAAGATCCGGCTATGAGTGGCATCTAGAATGCCAACAGTTGAATTATGGATATGCTCTGATATTGTTACATCGGGGTAGAAGATTTCTAGGATATGGAATTTTATATGGATTTGGAATTGTATTTATTATTTTGAAAACAATTTGTAAACTCTTAAGTTTTACTTTCCAAGTTTTATTTTCAATTATTTTGGATATTGAAGAACAATTATAAAGGTTTTATGTGAACCTTTTTACCAACGTTGAAATTTTATTCTTTAGTTTATTTACATTGTTACAATATATATGTATGTTGGGGTAGTAAGGGTGTCACATTTAGTGGTATCAGAGCAGGTCGATCCAATCGGCCGTGAGTTATGAGTCTACTATGCTTGTTTGGTAGATGAATTGATTGTAAAACTTTTTGATATGCTAGTTTGATGATTGATTAAGTTTGTTATTTATTTAATTATAGTATAATTGTTAACTCTTCTATGGATCATAGGAGTAATGGCAGGAGGTAGGAATGATCGCGCAATCGCTGATGCTCTATAAGCGATGGCTCAGGCTCTTGGTACTTTGAACCAAAGACTAGAGGTAGATTGGCTGGAGAGATTCCAGCGAAATAATCTACCAAGCTTCTGTGGGGGATATAATCCTGATGGAGCTGCTAACTGGATTTTTGAGGTTGAAAAGATATTCCAAGCTATGGGATGTCCTTTGGTGCAGAAGGTGACTTTAGCTGCCTTCATGCTTTCTGGAGAGGCTGGGGTCTGGTGGCAAGGTTCTTTGCAAAGAATGATGGTTGCAGGTACCCAAGTGAACTGGGAGAATATCAAGCGGCTATTTTTGGAGAAATACTTTCCACGCGATGTGAGACATAGGAAACAGGTGGAATTCCTTGAGTTGAAGAAGGTGGAGGACTCTATGGCTGAGTATGTACTAAGTTTGAAGACCTGGTTAGATTCTATCCCATGTATAATGGTGTAGGTAATGAAGAAGACAAGTGTGTGAAGTTTGTGAGTGGTCTTTTCCCTGAGATCAAACAAGTTTTCAATTACCAAGGGATCACTCAATATCATGAACTGGTGAACAAGTGTCGATTTTATGATGAGGACAACCGTGCTAGAGTAACTCATTATAAGAGTAGAGGACCCATGAAGAATCATAATAAGTTTGGTTCATCTAGTAAGGGTAAACCTTACACCAAGTCTGTTGGGGATTCGAGTTCTAAAGTGAATAACCAAGGTTCTGTGCAACAAAAGAGCTAAGCTCCAATGACTAGCCAAACTTCTAGAGGGGGGAATGTGAGTTCTGTTCCACGCAACAATTGCTACAACTGTGGGAAGCCAGGTCATACGGCACTTGAGTGTCGAATGCCAAGAGTAATAACATGTTTCAGTTGTCAAGAGAATGCACACAAAGCTAATGAATGCCCCAAGAACAAGAAAGGAACAACAGAAGTTGGAGGGAGCACTAGCGAACCTAGGGCGACAGGAAGAGTGTTTGCCTTGAGTGGTGCTAAAGCTACTCAATTCGAAGACTTAATCCAGGGTATGTGTTTCATCAATGGAACTCCTCTAATTGTTTTGTATGACTCTGGTGCGACTCACTCTTTCATATCACATGCATGTGTGTCTAAATTAAAATTACCTGTTTCTTCCTTGTCTTTTGAATTAATAGTAGAGACACCAACTGGTGGTTCAGTTTCTACTTCTTATGTCTGTTTAAAGTGTCCTTTGAGTATTGATGGTATAAATTTCATGGTTGACTTAATTTGTTTGCCTCTAAGTCAGCTAGATGTTATTCTGGGTATGGACTGGTTATCTTCCAATCATGTCCTTTTGAATTGTGCTGATAAATCTATTGTTTTTGGCAAGCCTATTGAAAAGGTGAGTAAGGACTATTTGACTGCCAACCAAGTTAAGGTATCTTTGCAAGAGGATGCCCAAGTGTACATGTTGTTAGCTTCTTTAAATTCTGAGAGTAATGTTTTGGTGAATGAATTTCCTGTTGTGCGTGACTTTTCAGATGTCTTCTCTGATGATATGTCTAGCTTACCACCTACAAGAGAAGTACAGTTTTCCATAGACTTAGTACCAGGAACAAGATCTATTTCTATTGCACCTTATAGGATGTCACCCGTAGAGTTAGTGGAGCATAAGAAACAAATAGAAGACTTGTTGGAGAAGGGGTTTGTGAGGTTAAGGAGAACCTGACAATGGAAACTACTCCAGTGAGAGTTGAGGACCGAATGGTGAAGCAACTTAGAGGTAAGGAAATCCCTTTGCTGAAAGTAATTTGGGGAGGAGCTACACCTGAAAGTGCTACTTGGGAGCTAGAGGAGAAGATGAAAGCGTCATATCTATTGTTATTTGCTTTAGGTAATTTTAGGGACTAAATTTCTATAAGGAGGGGAGAATTGTAACACCCTAGTTCTCATACCATTTTTTGAGGGTAATTGAGTAATTTTCATAAATTTACAGGGGTGGTTTACTAGCCCAGAATAGGCCGTTCCCAAATTGGAACGAGCCATTCCAGTCTACTAAAACAAGGGTAATTTAGTAGTCCAGAACGGGCCGTTCCAAACTACTAAAAAGGCTTGTAACCCTAGTTCAGAACGGGGCATTTTAAATATGGCCATTATGGGTTAAATGCAACCCTAGAACGGGTCGTTCTAGTTTGAGAATAGGTCATTATGGATTTAAATTTTACACATAACGTAAGAGTCCAGAATGAGTCATTCTGGATTCAAAACGGGTCATTCCGGTGACACCGGATGCTTATAAATAGAGCGCTCTAGCACTCCCAAAAAACACATTTTTCACTTCTGACTTCTTTTCTTCTACACTCTCTTCTTTTCTTCTACACTCTCTGAAAAGGAGAGATTTATGTGTAGAGTTACATGAGGGAATAGGTGGAGAAGAGTTCCTGTGGAATTTTTAATAATTTTATATATATTTCTTTATGTGTTTAAGATTAGGAATATGTAAATAATTTGTAAAAATGATGATCTAGGAGAGAGAACGAAATTGTAGAAAAGTGCCTGTGAGTTAGGTTTTGGAAAAATTGGGTGTTTTACTATTTGAGTTAAGATCCTATTAAATTGGTAATTCAATCGAGTTTTATATTGATTTATAAATGTTATTGTTATATTACTTGGTAAAATTGATGATCTAGCTGATAATTGGATTCATTGGGATGTTCTCATATTATGGCTTAATTGTTCAAATAATTATGATGTGAGTATGTTGACATGAAATGAGATGTTGTATTGATTGTGAATGTGATGTGATTGTGGTTCCTCACACATATGACTAGGGATGGCAGGACCTTGGGTAAGTGGTGCTACAGGATGGCGTGACCCTAGCATAGTGTGGGTGAGGCAATTAACACGTATCACTTATGTCTAGAGTGGCATGACCTTGGGCAAGAGATGCTACAGAGGTGGTGTGACCATTGACATAGTGTTAATTGTACAGTTTGTGATGATTGTGAATGTTATGTGATTGTGGATCCTCACACATATGACCAGGGATGGCACTGTCGCCACCGGCCCGAAACGGGCTTTCGGCAT